ATAAGGTTAGCAGTTTCTGTGTTAAAATTTCCCTAAACTCTTAATTATCACTGAATCAATGAAATTTCTCTCAAATGTAAATTCCTAAGATTTAAAAGTGTAAATACTTTTAAAATCCCATTTATTTTCAATGAAATTTATACTCCTTTTAGCAAGTAATAAGATGAATATGTAGTATTTTTTAAACTTTCAACAAAAATTGCTTTGGAAAAAAGATAACGGGTTCTAAGTTTCCCATGCTTTTGACTAGGAAAGAATTCTTCCTCATTATATAATCTTATAGAATTGTTGAAGATTTCTAGAGTGCTATAATAAACAATGACTTCAACTTTTCTTTATAAGAAAAAGAATTTTAGCTTGTTTTCTTGCAAAAAGTAGTTATCAATTCCCTGTACATATCTCAAAGCCTACACTGGAATGCTAGGAAGATGACAATTTATAAGTCATATAAGTCTTGTCAGTTTTAGATCCTCAATTTTACTTATGATTGTTAAGGTGTGCTTTTTCTCCTAGGTTTCCTACAACTTAAAAAAAAAAATTTTTTTTTAACACATACCCGGATACCAAAACTTGTACTGAAATGCTATAAGCCATCTGTACATTATAAGACCCAGTAGAGTGATGATGAAAGGGACCCTGAAAGACATGCCCAATGAGTAAACAATTATGAAGTGGCACAAGGCAGTGAATGTGTGAACAAAGGATAGAGCCCCACTCCTCATATCTCTCTTTATCTCTTTCTATTCTGGAGTGTCTCGGAAATCACCAACATCTCAACTAAAGCCAATTTTCACAGACTGTCAGGGTTTTCTGAAACCAGAGAAGTGGCAATGTGATTCCACGAAATAACTTAAGTTCTTCATCAGTTTCATTATGTACCAATGACACAAACTCCATCTAAACTTTGGAGTCTTGCTGAGTTATAGGAATTAGCTACTATTGGAATTTCAAGTGATATGGTTTTATGTTCCACCCTCCTACAAGAGACAGATAAAACATATGCTTACTTCACTATCTCCAGTGACCAGTAGTCTGTTTCCCACACAGCTTGAGTCCATGCTAACACTCCAAACATGGTCATGAATAAATACAGCAGTACCGAGGCATAGCTGCTATCCAAGGAATCTGCAGTTTAAGTGAGGCGAGGGGGACACACAGAAAGTTCAAATGGGGTATCAAAGGAACTAAGAAACCCTAAGGACACAGAGCCACTGACAAACCTAGGAAGTGTCTCAAGATGTAGGAAGTCAATGACCCAGGCAGTAGTTTTGTGTGATGCTGATGTGGAGTTTAAAGTATTTCTTTATCTTTATTCATCTTTTTTGTTGACTAAGAAACTCTCATTATAAAAGTTAGCATACTGTAAAACTTCAAATAGTCATATAACAATATTTAGAAAAAAATAAAGTCCCTTTGCACAAATCCATAGAAGGTGCCATCCAATGTAGATATGCCCACCACTATTGGTTGCTGATGAATCAGGGAAAGCATTTTAGACAACACAGCAGTGCTGTGGTTAACATTTAGGAATTAGCAGAGATGACCTGTGGGCGTATGGGTTAGGCAGAGAGGCTTCAGATAAGGAGGACTTGTGGGCCCAAGAACAAAATGCTCCCTGAAAGCAGAAGTCCAGGGACAGCTGCATGGTCATATAGAAGTGCATTCAATAAAATAGGAGGAGTTATTAGAGTTGTAGACTCAAATGTGGTGGCTGGTAGACCTGAAAATGAGGTGAAGGAAAGGAAAACATGCAGGCTTCCACATGTGACAGTGAGATCATGCATGTGGTATTGCTAAGATCATGTGGTACTGTGTAGAGAACAGAAATGCAATGGGCTTAGAGCAAAGAAACACACATTTTGACATTCTGAGTCTGAGAAGAAGGGAATAGTCACAGGTTCTTAGCTTCTCCAGTTTAAAGAAACACTCTCTGTTTTTGAACCAGCTTTATGCTCTAACATGGTTAATGAAATGTCATAATGTCTGCAATGGTTTATTTTGGTCAGAGTAATATATCTTGATCAAAGAAAGGAAACGTTTATAGAACTAGTTTAAAAATAAACTTCAAAATTTACCAGTAGTATACTTTATAAAATATCATAAATCTGTTGGTATAGAATCTCTTTTCACTGTCCTTATCATTATGATGTCAGAACAAGGTATCTTTATATCCTCTTGATAACTTGAAGGTCGCTGTTGAATTACTTCCTCTGAAAGTGTTCAAAAACAATCCTCAGCGGAAGAGGGTAACATATCTTCACATCTCCCCCAGTTTATCACATGTTAGTATCAGGTTTCAGCCTCAAAATAAGGCAAAGTGAAAGACTGATAGAACTAGGTGGTTCCCCAATGTGGGTGAGATGTCCTGGATTCTCAGAATAGAGAGCTGCAAACTACCACTAGATCTGTGAAAAAGCATCATTTGTGGACTTGAGGTGCTAGCATGTATACATAAAAGATAGCTATTAAACAAGAAAAAAGGGAAAAAAGCCTAGAAATTTACCTGATGTGTAAGAACACTGCTGACATGAAAATCTGTCTTTCCCCAGAAAAGAGGTTCCTGGTCTGCACAAGAATAGACCACCCATCTTCTCGGCAGCCTGATCTGTTTACAACCAACTTTCTTAGAAAAGGAGATACGACTGTTTTTTCCTAGCCATAAACAACAACAACAAAAGAAAGAATACTTTGTCTTCTGGAAGTGTGCATAAGATACAAGAAACTCTTGCTTCTGGATGAAGTAAAATTTGGGAAATATAAAAGTTGCTTCCCATCCTTGTTCATCTACAGAGAGCAGAGCTCCTTCTCTCTTCTGAAAACACATTTATCTACTCCTTTCTCTCTTCCTGGGGCTTTAAATTTGTTCTAGTAACTTCCTAACATGTTAATAAATTCACAGCTATAACTTACATATATTTTCATCAGCAATATATAATGCAGCAATATAGCAATAGGTACCAGGGATTGTTGACAATGTGAAATAGGAAGAAAAGGGCTAAAGGTGTAGGGAAAGTGGGAAGGGTAGGGGAAAGGTAATAAGGGAAAAGAAAAAAAAAACATGAGAAAATGAAAAAATGGAAATAAAGTGTTTGTTAATGGGGAGGAGAGGAGGAGGTGAAGGGCGGGCAGGGACAAGGGGAAAAAATGAGAACCAAAATCTGTCATGTAAAGGTACAAGATCCCAATAATGAATTTAACTTCACTGTATACCTAAAATATACCAATAGACTCAATTAAATTCAATGAATTTTAGTATGTTCAGAGTTTTATAACCATCATAACAGTAAGTTTAAAAATATTTCTCCCACAGAAAAGAAACCTCTATACCTTTTCGTCTCACCCCTGCCACTGGCAATCACTAATCTGCACTCCATCCCCATAGATTTTATCTTAGACATTTCATGTAAATGGTGGCCTTTTGTTACTTCTTTCACAGAGCATGCCATTCTCCAGGTTCACTCACACTGCAGCATGTGTCAGTGCCTCACTGTTTTTTGTGAATGAATAATATTAGACTATGTGTCTAAACCACTTGGGTTGTTTCTACCTGTTAGCTGTAACGTATGAACACACATGTACAAGTGTTTGTGTAAATATATGTTCTCATTTCTCTTGAGTATATACCTAGGAGTGTACTTGTTGGGCCATACGGTGACGCTGTTTAATGTCTGAGGCACTCCAGTTTTCTCCAAGCTGCCCCTTTTGGGTGCCCACCAGAGAATGGATAGGTTACAACTCCTGCTCACTTCTCCAGCACCTGCACTGTCCACCATCCAAGTAAGAAAGCATCTCATTTCTTGACTGTGACGCTTTATGGCAAAAATATTTTTCCTCTTTTGCAATAAACTTCTTAGTCATACCATTGGCTCCTTACTTTAAAACATTAGATCAGATTTACTTTTTACTTTGATTGGAGATACAGATTTTTCTAATTATTTACTAATATGACCTGATTTTATAAGGTACTTGAGAAAGCCAATTTGATCACACTGCTTTTACAGCTGGATTGAACACTTTACAGGATGACCTCAAGAAGTCTGAAGAGACAGTAGGTACAAAACTGCATACAAAACATGCTAAGACCACATAGGAGGTGGAATATCTTAATAATGAATTTTAACAGTCTGCATATGAAAGAATGATGTAAAGTTAGAAATGACTAATTTACCAGCTTTAAGATTATGCCATTTTTAACTGATAATGTGAAACAGGAAGAAAGGGGCTAAAGGTGTAGGGGAAATGGGAAGGGGAGGGAAAGGAAATAAGGGAAAAGAAAAAATATGAGAAAAGGAGAAAAATGGAAACAAAGTCTTTGTAAATAGGGAAGGGTGGAGGGAGTGAAGGGAGGACAGGAGTATGGAGAAAAAATGAGAACCAAGATCTGTCATGTAAAGGTACAAGATCCTTTGATGATGAATATAACTGTACTACATACCTAAAAAGTACCAATAAACTCAATGGAAAAAAAAAAAAGATTATGCCATTTCTGAAGATTTTGAAATTACTTATGTCCTTAATTCTCCTTTCAAATAGATACATTATATTTAAATTCTAACAAAATAAATGGTAATTTAATATGCAAATGTTAAGATTCACTGAAATAAGACGAAATTGAATAGTGAAGCATATAATAGTCCCAAGTTTCAACAGCTTTATTAAAATTTGACTTTGTCACAAGTTAATTTATGAAATCAGTAAAACTGATTTTTTCTTGTCATTTCCTATTCTCAGGTGTTCTGTTACATATTGACACATGATGGCAAAAGGTCCATATCTAAAGGGCCTGTGTGATGCAAGGAGGCTACATGTTAGAAGGAGCAGATGGTTTTTACCTTCAGGTAGAGCAGGCTCTGGAAGTCTGGCTGGGACATAGCCCCTTCACTCCATGCACTAGAGTAAGTCCTCATGCCCACTGAGCCCAAACAAAAAGCATGGAGACCACAACTTTGCACTTTGAAAAATAAATCCTGAAACAAGATTCTTTAAGGGGTGTGACTTACCTCATCAGGGCTGGATGCTTGGTAGGTGCGGTTCTCATCACTGAAGTCTTGGTCTGCTTCACCAAATTCTGTTTCCCCAGTGATGCCAGCCCTAGCCTCATATACAGGGGTCACATTGTGACAAAGAGCAATGGCTTTCACTGCTTCATGGATCCTACTGCTGACACTTTTCCTAACTTTGGGAGCTAAAGATTGGGATTTTCTTGGTGGTGTAGAACTGGAGTTGTTTCCACTTGCTTGAGTATGCACCTTTAAAGCAGGGAATGTCACAAAAAATTAGAGATCACAGAACTAAGGTGGTTGACCCAGGAAATATCAATCTATATTATTTTATAAGCTATGATAAAAAGCAAGGAATAAACAATGTGGTTTGGTTTGATTTGATTCTATGACCTACACAGCACCCATTAATATGTTTTACTTCTTTTTAAATTATGTAAAATGCTCTGGTATTTCCAGGTTGTCAAATATACCAAAATATTTGTTAACATACTTAAAACCTGACAATCTTCTTTTATTTTATTCACTTCAACTACAACTTTGATTTGTTAAGTCCTCAATAATTCCTCTTTATTCATTCCTTCTAAAAACACATTAAGTTAAAGAACAAAATGTAATGGTGTGTTCACAATGGCTTTCATTTTTCTGAAGAAATGCTGTAAATAAAATAGGATAAAGCTAAAAGCAGAACAGAATTTTTAAGACTCTTCCCTTACTATCATGTGGCTTGCAATAGTCTCTGAATTGGGATGGTCAGGCTTTGCAACTAACAATAATTAGACACATTAGTGGGTACTTTCAGAGGAAAATGGCCCAGTCCTCTCTCCCTTTTTGTTATTGTTCCTATCACATTTCGGATTTTTTTTTCTCTTTCCTTCTCTCAACTGACATTAAGGTGAATATAGTTTTTAGCTTCCCTGTTGCCATTAGTTTGTTCTGTTCTTGTCTTTGTTCCTTCACTCTGTCATTTCTTCTTTTCTTCAGTGGTTTCCCAAGTTTGTGTGATCTTCTTGTGTCCTCTAGTCTCATTTCTAACCTTTCCCTCTCCTTCTATCTCTCTATCCCTCTCTCCCCATCTCCTTCTACATCCTTATCCTCAAGGGTAAATTTGCTATATTGAAGGGTTGACTTACTACAAACATATTTTGGGCTGGTCGTCAATTTTGATCTAGTTCACGCAAATTGATTAACAGCTACCACAGATAGTCATTTTCTAAGCTGTGCTTGATGCTATTGTTGATGTCATGATTGATCTAATCAGTTGTCCTTCCTGATATCCTGAAAATGAGACTGCCTAAGAGTCATTAGAGACTTAAAACCTGAAGTCTAGCTATACCTGGAAGACACATCTGAAAAGCAATCATTCCATAAGGGTTCTAAATACAAGCAATAAAAATACTCACAATAAGCAATATTGAGGTATAAACCCAAGAATTAAACCAAAAGCAGCATCAACAACAAAAATAGAAATGAGAAGACACCTAAACAAGGTGCTAATCCAGAATTCCAGTTCACCAAAGGCAAATTCTGGGGGCAATGAGGTGGAAAAATCTGATAATCAACCACCTGAACACCCTAAATTGAAGTAACAAAACAGATGAATGAGGCTCTAGAAAAATTCAAAACAGAAATGATTTCCCAGATAACTACAGAGATAGTGAGCAAAATGAAAGAGACTCTAGAACAGAAACAGATAAAAAAAAAAAAAAAAAAAAAGATGAGCTCAGGACTATGAAGGAAGCCATGAATGTCCACCATATTAAAGAAATGGAAACCATGAACACCCAACACAGGAAAGAAATGGAATCCATAAAACAGATTCAAACAGATATCCAGGAAATTAAAAACTCTACTGAAAGAATTCACAGCAGAATGAGGCAATGTGAAGACAGAGCATCAGATATAAAAGACAGGACTGTGGTTAGTGACCATGAAGAGAGAGATTTCTTGAAAATAGTAAGGGACCATGAGAAATGGATCCTGCAGCTGCTACATGACACAAAGAAGAATAACGTAAGACTGATAGGAGTCCACAAAGAAACAGGAGAAAGTACAAATGACATTAAAAAAAACTGTTCACAGAACCAATAGCTGAAAACTTCTTAAGCAGAGTAAAAGAATTTTGACATACAGACAAGTGAGGCATATAGAACTCTGATACCTGTATCTGAATAAATTACATCCAAAATGATTAAGATACTTGGTTTTGTATGTTTTTTTGTGTGTACATGTATAGTTAAGTATGTAAAACAATACATACAATAAATGTTTTTCATGTGACATTTCAAGAGTAATGTCTATGCTAGACTAGCAACAATTACATAAAAGGTTTACAAAAAAATGATCATATAACTGATAATTGAATCCTATACTTGAATTCTGTCCAAAGTATAAAGACTACAGATGGAAAGTGCAATTTAGTCTCTTATACAAAATCCTGACTGAGGCAAACCAATGTAAATACATCAGAGATGTGGCCCTCTGACACCTGAGCTGTGAACACCCAGATGAATTGTTTACATCTTTGAAGGTTAGGGCTTTATCCCACATGACATGCACTATTGTACAGTATTCAAAAAGCAGAAAAGCAACTTGAGAAAGTAACAATTTCTGACACAAACTACAATCTTGTACCTGGCATTTTAAATTAATTTCCTTGAATTGCTAGGTTTAATGATATTAAATCAATTTTCAAATTATGACAGGTAAAAAGAAATCCAAATGAATGAGATATAAATATTATATGGGGCCAGTGCCACATAAAACCTCAATTTGATTACAACATACTATATACTATATACACAAAGGCCCTAACATGACTAAAATCAAGAGCACAAAAGGGGCTGGGGATTTAGTTCAGGGGGTGCTGCCACCTGCCTCACAAGCACCGAGTCCTGAGTTCAAATCATGGCACCCCAAACAAAAAAACAAAAGCAAAATAACACAGAGAATGAGCCAGAGCCAGGGTTGGACTACTTATAGTGTCTATCTGTCTCTTCTGAAGATGACCTGACATCTAGGCTGTATCCTCAGGTTGTAAACAAGTAATTCCTGTTCTTATAATCTTAGATGGGTCCTATGAGGCAGTAATTCTTTAAAAAAAGTTTTTATTGATTAGGGTCACATAATAAATATTTAAAGATAAAATGATATTTGAGCTTCAAAATAAAAAGAGAATGGCTATAGTGAAAATAGAATCAGTCATGCATTGATAAATATTACTGAAGTTAAGTAACTGATACATGATGGCTCATGGGACTATGGTATCTATTTTGCTTACTGAAAAAGATGAAAAAATTTACCTGTGAGATTTTAAGATTGTTTTAATTACTATTATTTATGCAGAAAAATAGAGGCATTCAGAAACAATGATATAGTATTGAACTGAATATCCTTCAAAATACTGTTGACACAGTAAATATATACAAATTATTCACTAAGAAAACAGTATGAATAAATGATTTAGGCCCATTATGCCTTCTATAACTACACTGACATACAAATGCTTATTCTGAGCTGTTTGACTCAGAATTGATGACAGGCAACACAGTAATAAAAGCTAAAATAATCAAAGAAGGTTACCAATTTACAGATTAGCACATAACAGACTCAGTTTCGTTCAAGTGTTAGATGCTGTGGAGAGAACTGCACATTCAGAGGTAAGCTTGCACACCTGTGAGTAGGAATTCAGGAGATGGTTCTGGATCTCATCCATTGTATCAGTTCCATAGGAAACAGTGCCCAGATGGAGCCGCTTAAATATCATCTCATTCTGGGTAAGAGTTCCTAAAATAAAGGCAACAACACCAGTTAATCCAGTCAGTGTAAGAACGGACATACTGCTTTACATTCCTGATGCTGCTCTTCAGACCTTTGTGCAGGAAGGCCAGTATGTTGAGACACAAAGCACCTGTAGAATGTTCTTTGCTACCACTCCAACCTTGACAGCAAGAGTGAGAAGTTTTTTCTTAGCAGTAAAGCTCCCGTTTAACAACTTTTAACAATGGGTGGGGCTCTAGTTATTGAGAAATTGTAGGCCTGTGGGGGTGAACCTATGGCACTTGTGACGCAGCAGGCTGTTATTATCATTAAAAGCTTTAAAAGGTTCGCCATCACTGTTTAGGCTGTCCCTTGCAACTTACATCTGTTATTCGGTACAAATGAAACATCTGCCTGTTCTGAAAGAGGCAGGCTTAAAACTAGAAAACTGAGTTATCAGCTTGATAATTATAGTACAGAACATTTTCAGGAAGACATCAACTATCCCTGAATTAAGGTGCCTATCAGTTTAAAAAAAAAAACCGATTTTGAAAACTTAAATATTTTTAGTTGAAGTAACATACTCTAAATATATTTAACTCTTTGCATGTATTCAGATAATTTGGAATGACAGGAAATTTGTGAAAGAGGATATAGTTTCCCTAGTTGAGTTCAAGAAGAGCTATCAAGATGTGCTTATTTAATGCTTGCTTTGTCAGCAGACCACAGCAGAATCATCAAAACGGTTATTTACCAGGATTGCCAGTAAAGTTGGGTCATGTATCATACATTACACTTAATTTACAAATACACATATAACAGATGCATAAACTTGCTTACATGGTTTGGTTTGATGTAAGTAAAGCTACACAAGAAAGTTTAACCCTATGAATGTGAATAAAATATGCTGCAATACACTATGCTTGAATCCTGATTTCCCTTGAGGGTTGTGCACTTGTCTCTGATGTAGTGGCAAGTGTGAACATGCACGTTTCCACCAATCAAATGCAATGGAAATTGGTCTTTTTAAATAGTCATGAAACACCCAAATAATATGAACTTCTGTTTTCTTTGCCACACATGATACTGAAAATATCTATTGATCCCATGGTTATGATTTGTATTCTGAGTTTAAAAAAAAAAAAAAAGGCCACTAATTCACAGACTACCACTAGAACACAGAGTCCATTTAAAAAAGGTTTGTCTCAAAATAAAAATAAAAAGGGACTGGGGGAACAGAGGATGCAGCTCAATGCAAAGATACTAGGCAGGATATAGAACCAGGCCACCTGCCCCCAATTCCTATGTGTAGTGATGCCTTTTAATGAGTTTTGGTCAGATTAATATTGCATGAATTCAGAGTAATTTGAAATTCATGTTAATATAATTACTTGAGGACTTTGCTTGGTGGTTCCTCAGAATTTGTTGTTGAACTGATCCTTCATATCCTGCATTGTCTTCCTTAATTCATTCAGCTGTTCATTTGTGTCCTCTTTGCAGTCACTGATGATTTTAAAAGCCAGTCTTTTGAATTCTTTAGTATTTCATCCATTTCAATATTTTTGTATTCTGTTACTAATGAGTTGTGGACCTATATAGGAGTCATGTTGTTTGTGAGATCTACACATCTGATGGGATGAACATCTCTCCCACTTTTAGGTCAGAGCCTTCTTCTGAAGGCTTGATACCCAGCACCACTCAGAAAAAACACATTTTTGTAATAACAACCACACAAAAAATTCAGCAAAGCCAATTAAAAGGAACAACTATACTACTAGTAGAAAAGAAAGTAATAATAATAACGTACAGTAAATGAAAAAGCTGAATATTTAAGAAAGGTTAAAAGTAATAATACAGGGCCAGGGATTTAGCTCAGTGGTTTCGCTGCCTGCCTTGCAAGCTCAAGGACCCAAATTTGATCCCTGGTACAAAAAAAAAAAAAGGAAATACAGTGATAATAAAAGTGGTAGAGATGGGGAAAAGGAAAAATCATAAAGTAAACAAGATTTAAGGAAGATATGGGAACAAGGAAAAAGCAATTAAGTAAAAAATCCAATTAAAGAATTAAAAAATACATGAAATCAGATAAAACAGGAAAAGAATAACAAATAAAAAAAGAAAAAAAAAAAAGGAAAGAACAGTCAAAAAAATTCCTCCATGATGAGATATTTGGATGAGTTTTCTTTCCAGGACCTATAGAATTAGAAGCTGCCACGGAGGGAGAGTGACAATGGGTCTACCTGGGATTTGTGTTTCCACAACCATGTACAGTCTATTGCAATATGAATGCTGACCCTTGCCCTGCCTTTCTTGCTGGGCCTAGTTAATGGTACACTGTCTACCCTAGGGGCTGTATTAACCCCTGAGGCTTTTAGTGCTTATTTGTGTACTTTTGCGCATTCCAAGTCACTGCTGTGCTGAAATAGCTCTGTGCCATATGGGCTAGTGAGGTGCCCTACGTGCTCCAGAGGTCCCTTTCCGTACCCATTATGGCAAGCATCCAAGCAGAAGCATAACAGTATGTACACACTTGGGCATACAAGCAAAAAAATTAGGGAAAGCAAAAATTCCACAGAGTTTTGTGCTAGAGGGGAACAAAGCAATCAAGGCTAGCAAACAGGCTATATTCTACTCAAGATGGGCTTCACTCCTCACAACAGAGGAATGTACTATTAACCACAGTACCCTCTACATCTAAGTTCTCCACCACTTAAATTTCTTAGTGGGTCTGCAATGAGCCCTCCCCCTTTCCATGACTACTTCCTATGACTGTCTCCCATCCATTGGGGACCTTAAAATGTTGTTCTGTGAATTCTGCTCCTCACAGTAATGCAATTTCAAACAATTAAGACCCCTTTCAAAATGGTTCCTAGAAACACTGAGATTTGGCAAGCACTCAAAATAGATTTGTTCTCCAAAGCTAGCCTGCTATGCCAGAGGTTACTTTCACAGTAAATCCCACGTCGGATTTACACCCTGCAATAGCAGTAGGTTTTTGTTATGGCTGGAGCTACCAATCCACTCTGGGATTGTCCACCCTTTCTGTGCTTGCCTTGTGCTGGATGGATTTGGTTCCCTGCCCCATAGTAGGTTGGGGTTGCAGACAACTTTGGTTTTTTGTCTATGTTGACTTTCTGTCTTGCCACAATTTTGAGCTTTCCTGCCAACACTCTGATGATTCCTGGATCCCTTCTTTCTTTGTACTGAGTATCTGCTTTCTAGCTGTCTCATTTCCTAGTCACGGAACAGGTATAGACTGCTGCCCACATCAACTCCACCATCTTGGACTCTTCAAATGAGCTTTTGGGTTTTGTCTAATACATGATGCTTTACATTTGAAAAGGTTTTAATTTTTATTCTTATTTTTATTTTGTTTAGACAGGGTCTTGCTATGTAGTGCAGGCTGGCCCTGAACTCAGGTCTTCCTGCCTCAGCCTCCAGAGTGCTGAGATAACAGGTATGTATCACCATACCCAGATTGGTTTTTAAATTTGCAAGGAAAAAAAAATCACAACATTTAAGCTTGTCATATTAAAATAAACATAAACCATATAGCATTCATCATTCTACAGCTAAACTTTTTGGGTGGAAAATGGCTAAGGATGACTATAAAAATCTAGACCCTGGTCAAAGAAGCAAGAAAAACTTTGAAACGAATAGCTGTGCTTTGCCAATGTGTTATCAGAACCAGATCTTGCGAATCCACCAATATAAGCTACTACTTTTATTATACAACTCACAAATCCCTGAGAGGATGTGATACCCACAGCAGGGGTTCCTTTCCCTAGGATTTGTTCTCTCCTCCACCCAACAAAGACACCTAAATTTATAGCCTCCTAGCCAATATGTGTAATTGGACATTCATCTCTAAAAGTCATCATGCTTATTCACTCTGTACTACCATTTTCCCTATATAATTTTATCCCCTCAATCCCCACAGAAGCACAGCCTGCCGGGTACCACATTTGTCATGCTGGAAATCCGGGAGAGGAATGATTGTACTTTGAGTATGTGAAATGCCAGAAACTCATTAGGTAATTATAGTTCTCCAGTGTAATCAATGAAGTGATGACAAAGAGATAAAATATGCTTTATATAAGACACATTCTAGTTAAAGGAAAAATATTAAACTGAAAAGAAATGATTGTATTTGTCAGCTTTTTGTCACTGGGATTTATCCAACATATACAATTTAAAGCAGGAGAGGTTTTATTTGGCTCAAGGTTTCAGAGCATTCAATCATTTATACATTGACTCCAAGTTAGGAACATTGTGGTGAAGGGCATGGAAGAGAAAAGCTGCTTAATTCATGGAGGCTGGGAAGCACAGCAGTGAAACTGAAGCAAGAAGAAGAGGTCAGGGACCAATATAGTGCCCAAATTCACACCTCCATCCTCACTCAATCCATTGGGTGGCTTTAAAGCCAATCAAAATGATAATCCATCTTACCTTTCATAATGACTATTTTCCTTTTGTCAAAACTCTTATTCAAGCCAATCTGAGCTTTTGATTTTGATTCTGAAATAATTACAGGTTCACAGAAAGTTACACAGAGCTATTCCTTGTCCCTTCACCTTGTTTTCCTTACTAGTTACATTTTGTATGTCAAACCAAGAATTTGATAATGGCACAATGTGTGCATATATGTAGTTCTCAGCTATGCTATCAAAACATAGATTAGTGTAAGGAGCATGCCAGTCAAGACCTAAAACCGTCCAATGACCACAGTGATATCCCTCATACTGTGGGTCATGTCCATTTCCCTCCATTTATTCCTGACTCTGGTTTATAATATTTGTTGTTACTAAGGCAGCTATCAAATCTTATTTCTGTAGTTAAGCTTCTTAAAGATGAGATTTCAGAGAGCACACTCTGAATTTAAACATAACAGCATATTAACATCCACAGGGCAGGCCAAAGGTTACGGCTGCTGACATTGTCTGATGATCAGTAATGCTGTGAACAATCATCACATTGTAATCATGAGCTGTTTAGAGTCATAGTCAATAGGAAGTCCTAAGCTATGT